CAAAGCTCAAATGACTTTGAAAGAAAAACCCTAATCCCTAATAAGGCCTCGGACAGCCTCCTTGAAGCCCATTGGGCATGGCCTTTGACCAATAGGAATGAAGTTTTCCATTCCTTGCCTTCATCCAACCATGCCTTGTTTTTATCCCTCCCAATAAGCCTCCTATTAGTTAAGAATTTCTTCTTTAGGCTCTAATCTCCTCTCAAGGCTTCATACTAACATTTAGGTTCTATAATTTTTTTGAAATGCTATAATTAAAAAGATAAAACTTAAAATAAAGTTTCTTAAATCCACTTTTATTAAATTAATCTATTAACCATCCTAATATACACCAAGACTTATGAACATATTATATGTTCTAACTAATTTTTACATACTATAAGCAATTACAGTATGACATCGAGGTCATCTCCGCAAGCTACTTGGTTGAGATGGTATGATCGGCAAGGCATCTATCTCTTAACTATTCATAGCATAGAAAATAGATACGACCAAAAGAATGTAAATAGACTATGGTTATAAACTCAAACTTTTGACTTATACTATTCTAAATAATTGACAACAACTATATCTTTAAAGGTTGCCTCCTTCCCTTTTTTATAAAGCCAAGAACTAAAAATCTTCATGGTGAAGCCATCTTATCAAGCTACTATTCTTTATTTTATTGCTTTTGGTCTAGATGGATGTCATTGATGGAATCTTTCAACCTTCATTTGTGCATTTATAAGGTTGCCAGCTAGTTCTTACATTCAATCATTGATATTATATCCACGCCAATAGACCAGATATTTAAACCTTTCATATCCTATCTTTGAATTTAATATCTCTTTTACTTCAAATTTAACATGATCATTGATTTCAACCATAAGAGGTGGAGGTTGTCTTTGACCTGATATATTTGATTTCTTATATCTTTTTAAAAATAAAATATAAAAGATTGGATGAATCTTCATGGATGAAGGTAACTCTAAGCAATAAATTACATAATTAATTTTTTTTGAATCACAAATGGTTCTAACCTTTGATAGTCCAATTTATTATATAGCCTATCGATTTTTATATTGCGCCAACGAAGCCATAGCTTGTTATCAACTTGGAATGGAAGATGTTCCTTCCTTAATTCATCCACCAATAGCTTATAATGTTCTTGAGCCCTTTATAGATGAGCCTTCATGGTTGCTTGAAGTTTGGCCATCTTTGTAGGAAACTCCTTTATTGTTGGATTTGTCGACTTTGAAGGTTCTATCATATCCAACTTTAGATGATGATCATTGGTGTACTATAATTATTTTTAGTATATAAAAATTAATTAAAATATATTATATGTAAATAAGTCTAGATGTATATTAAAATGGTTAATAGATTAATTTAAAAAAAATAGATTTAAGAAATTCTATTTTAAATTTTATCTTTTTTAATTATAGCATTTAAAAAAATTATAGGACCTAAATGTTTAGTATGAAGCCTTAAGAGGAGATTAGAACCTAAAGTTGAAAATCTTAATTAGTAGGAGGCTTATTGGGAGGAATGAAAGCAAGGCAAGGAATGGGGATATTCATTCCTATTGGTCAAAGGCCATATCCAATGGACTTCAAGGAGGCTGTTCGATGCCTTATTAGAGATTAGGATTTTTCTTTTAAGGCATTCGAGCTTTAGAGGCTAGATTCAACAAGTTTAGATTTTTTGGTACAAATTGGGTACAAATTTTGTATGATTTGAAGTTTTTATGAAGGATTTATTCGCATTCAAAGTTAAGGTATCAATTTCATATCTAGTATCACTCTTTGGTATATAACATATGTATACAAAGAGCAACGAAGGATTGGCGACTAAAATTAGAGAGAACACTTTTTCAACCAAACTTTATATATATTGTTTAATGAATTTGGAGTTTGGATGAAGAAATTATAGAGGGTTGAAGTCGGCACATCCAAATCAAAGGTAGTAGGTAAGTGATTTTGTTCATAGTAATGGTTGGAGCCATATCTTGAGTTTTTGGAAAAAAATTTGGTTCAAACATTTTATAGAAGATAGATAATTGTGTTAAAAAATTATACATATAAACTTTGTGGTATTTGGATATCTAATTTGTGAGATATGAAGAAAATTGCATACAGGTGTATAAAGATAAGGATTTAAAGTGACTAGATTGGCCAAGTTCCCTTTGATGCTTTTTTTCTTACTTAGAAAGAGATTTGAAGTAAACTGCATCAATCCGCATATCTTATGCTTACAACTGCTCATTAGTATTGGATAGTGAAAAAGTTGCAGAATAATTGGTATATACATGTGGCATAATTAAAGAAAGTTTATCTTATTGTCGTTGAAATAAATAGTTATCTCACTTCATAGCTTGATTAATGGCTTCATTGAGTGTTAAAGGATCTGACATAAACAACAATAAGTCTTTAACATTGTCTCTTAATCTCCAATAAAATTCGCTCATCAATGCATCTTTTTTTCAATTTATATCACATGCTAATTGTCAAAAATCTGAGGCATACGTTAATGCAAAGCATGTTCTTTATCAAAGGCTTTGAATTTTAATTGTTGAAGAATGAACCTTATCATATTCACCAAATTTTGCCAAAAATGCTTCAATATTTTGCAATATAGGAAAATTCTTTTCAAATAATGGGACGAACCAGGATGAAGCTTGACCCGAGAGCAAGGTTCCAACCAATCCAACTCAAGATACTTCAGTGGAATATTGTTGAAGTTGAAGCAAGGTGATTAATTGTACTTCATTTATAAAGCCACAAAATTTTGAGTAAGTGCCATCAAACTTTTTTGGAAGGCTAATCCTTAGCTCTTTTGTTGTTATTGTTGTTAGATCATTGCCTTGAGTGGATGCACCTCTCATGTTTGAAGTAAACATAGTCGTTTGAGAATTTTGAATCTCTATTACAATTTGATGTGGTGGTTGAGGCACTTTGGTTCCTTGACCATTATGTATAGTCATATATAGTTTTTTATTTTGCTATGACAAAGTCTCTGTCCTAATCTTAAATGCTTCAAGAACATTAAAAAAAGAATCTAACTTAATTTCTTTTAAGTCTGTCATATTGACTTTTCCACCTTCTGCCATGGCAAAAGAAATACATGCCTTCAAAAGAAAAAAACTTGATCTATGATATAAAGAAAAGAAATCAAAAGAATATTTTTAAAAATAATAATAATATTAATATTAATATTAATCTAAGAGAGGATATTCTCCAACCTCTAGAATGCTATAGTACTTCCAAAAAGAATGATAATCCACTCTCTTTAAAGAAAGATTAAGCTTCTAATATTGTTTTACGATAGTCTCGACAAACTATTAGGGACCATATATAGGACAAGGATCCAAGACTAAGAAATGGAATTAACTCAACATTAGAATAATAATTGGATATAAGACAAGAAGATCTTGGCTAGACCACAAGAAGTAAGTTGTCGAGACTGAGGATCCCTTCAGCCTTGACTCTTATATGTACTAGGTCCTAAGAAGCTTATTGAGAAGTTTCTATGAGGCTTGAAAACAAACCAAGCCTAAGATCCTTCTTCAATAATTTCTTAAATCATCTAAAGCCTCCTATAACATTCAAGAACCTTTGTAGAATCTATTAGTACCTTCTAGAACCTTCTTTAGTTGTATGTCTATGACAATGACTGCCTTGATGCTTATGAGCACCTTCTCCATATTTATATAATTTTTTCTTAGACTTTGAAATATTAGGTGCATAAAATTCTGGAATTGTGGTTCCAATAGGACAAGCTTCCGCATTGCACAAGAATAGCTCATTTTGCTTCTCCATAAGAAGTAGATATGACATGAAATCAGAATGACTCTAAAAATTCATATTCCTATATTGTTGTGTAAGCATAATAGATATAAGAAGAAATGTAGAGAGAATTTTTTCAATCATTTCTTCTTCAGAGATGCTTTGTATACATAATCGTAATTGTGAGACAATATTATATATTTCACTATTGAAAGCATTTAAATTTGGAAAATCCAAGACATGTAAATGTATCCAATTATGTCGTACACACGGAAGGAAAATAATCTTATGATGATCAAATCTGGTTTTTAGATTCTTTCAAAGTTCTGCATGATCTTTTATTTCCAAATATTGATATTGTAATGCAGGTATAAGATGACGATGAAGGAGAAGAAGTGCTTTCTAATAGATAGCAAGAGGAATAGAATTACTTATTGTAGGAGATTCTTCAAACATAATCGCATCTAAGAATTGTTCTACAAATAAATAAAAAAAAAATTGTCATTTTTACCCATAATAGATAATTGTTTCCATCTACAGTCAATAGTGAAAATAGAAGAGCTTGGAAATATTGGGATGCAGTGGTAATAATTGGAACCATAGTAGAAGTAGTTGAAGATGTTGAAGCACTAATTATGAATAAATTTGTAAAGAAAATACAAGATCAAGTAGAAAAGTTGAGTAAAATGTACCTTAAAATATAGAGTCAAATGAAATGATAAAGTTGAACTTGAAATCAAAAATATTATTTTATTTTTTTATTTTTTTATTTTTTTGAACAAGGTTGTAGATTGTGGTAGTGGAACAACAACAATAGGGCAGCGATGGGAGTCATCGATGAAGGTGACAGGCAACGGCTACAACAATGGTTGTTAGGCAACACTTGGTGGCTCTTTTGGCAACTGTTTGGTAGTTGTTCAACGACTGTTTGGCGGCAAGCACGGGACACAGTAGAAAGACTAAGCTAGAGCAAGTACTCTAAGCAAGCAAGTAAGGCAAGGAAATCTAGCAAGCAACTAAGGTATGAAGGGCTAATGAGAAGTGCAATAAGATCATGAGTCATATGCCAAAGTAGTAAAAATCACACATGGAGTAGGAATAGCAACAAGTTTGAAGAATCAAGTCTAAAGCAAAAAATTACTATAGTATATAAGAACAAATCGTGCTAATAACATATTGAGAATGTTTAAAAGAACACAAGAATAATAGTAAGTAATACACAGTCAAGAAGGTTTCTAAGGAGAGAAAGAACTTCACACACAATCTATTTGATTTAGTTGTATCACATATACAAAAGAAAAAGGAGAGAGGATAAATAGTTTCTTTCCACTATATTCCAAATACTGTAGCTATAATATTTATTGTAAACAGTAAATATTATGGAGGGGTTTAATGCTCTCAACAAAAATGACAAGGGTCAACGTACATAAAGTAAAATACTAAATGGTCATAGTGCACGATAGTGAGAGTTTTGTCCACCTAAGCACTATTTTTGTACAGCCGGTGAGTTACATGCTGCACCCTATAATGTTATATCTCACCTCATTTTACAATCTGGTAAGTCAGCATTATATCCATGCTGCCACGTCATTCAATGGCAACCAGCACGTTCTATGCCTCCGAAGGGAAGCCCACCAGACCTTAATCTTACATTATGGGATCCTCAAACACTGCACTGCGCTGGTCTGCAAAGCAAAGAAGGTTGCATCATCACCGCTAACTCTCATCAATCCAGGAAGGAGGATTCATGAACTCATATATCCACAGCGGAAGGTCCGAGTGGCATAATTCGTCACTTTTGCAATCCTGCACGAATTTAGGCATGTCCATGTAGTTTAGACCAGCCACGAAAAACGAAGAGTCGATCATCTCTGATCGTAAGAGCCCATTGGAGCCAATCATCAGTTCAGCGCGGCTGTACAGCGGCGAATGCAGATGGAACAGCGGCTCCAGATCTTTGAAGGTTGGATCTACCTCCTTCGGTTCAGGTTCCTTCTCAAAACCCTCAACCTCAACTACTTTTCGTGCACTTCTGGAGGCCATGATGGAAGGAGCCTCCATATCCCCAATTCGCACTGACCGTTTGATGACTTCTTTGGCGCGTTTCTTCACCTCTACGTTGAAGGGTTTGTCTCGGATGTCCTTGCTCACCATATGAAAAGGCCGTTCCAAGGGGCCCAGATTCTTAAACAGCTCTGGAGAATTTCGAAAGTAATAATTCCCTTTCCCCTGCCCGGCATAAAACACTGCACAATCATAAGCTCTGCGCCCGTCCTGCAACGAGGAATAGGTGCCCATCCACAACTTCCACTTGAATCGGGATGGCCGGTATTCCACGACATACTTCCTTAGCTTCACTCGGTATCTGACTCCTCCTTCTCGGAGGTCAAGCTCTGTTCCTGGTTTTTCGAAATCTGCACCTGGGTTCGGGCCATTCCTAAAGAAAGAAAATGAAGAATCCACTTCACAACAATGATAACGTTTCGATAAACAAAGCATTGCAGCATAACACTCAAATGAGCCAGTAGTGACCGATTTGAGAGTGGGAACAAAACAGCTAGTTGCTCCTACAGACACGGATTGGAGTCGACACAGCAGGCACGCATCATACATGAAAGAAAATTAGAAAACCGTACCTCCCGTTGTTGGTGTTGACTTGAGGGGCAGCCAGCGTACCATCATGACTTGACGGATCGTAACGAGTGCGACAAAAATGCTTCTTGAGATCCGTATTAGTATGGCACATTTTATCGCACTGCTTTGAGCAATAAAGTACATTGAATGGTGTATCAATCTTGAACTCATCATGTTGGCCATGGTCACAGAAATGTTCACCAGTCGGAGAGCCCCCCAGAGAAAGGCAAGTAACACATTCCCTGCTTCGCCACTGATCGAGCTCCTCACAGAGTTTTGTGTGCTCTCCTTTGAAGGTTTCTGGCATCTTACCCTCCTATGACTACTGTCAGACTGCTCTATGTTCAATTGAATACCACAACCGAAATCCTCACCCTCGTACTCCTACAAACACCATAATGTTTTTGAATATAGTATGTATTTGAGGGCTACTGAAAATGAAAGGAGAACCCTAGAAGGACGAATTTATTCCACACTACTACCTTCAGTTGAGTACTGTATTGAGGCACAACGAAAAATTGACCGATACTGACAGGATAACATACGATAGCAGAGAATGACGGGCACAGAATAAGCCCTGACGTTCACGACCATGATAAGTCCGGCTTACGATACTGCTCCCAAATTGGTCAATTGATAGTCCAGGTTTTCGACCATTCCAAGCTCTCTGGCATTAACCACGCAAGAAGAACATCAGTCTCTAATCCACGGTATGAAATGGTCCTCCAAAACAAGGTCAATCCTTTGCCCAAAGCGATGATTTATTAGCAAGGTGGCCACAAAAATAGCACCCTCAGACCAACAAGCACAGAATATCCCTCGAGTGATCTCGCTGCACATATTTACTAGAAACCACACAAAGTGAGAAACATAGGGCACGTCAAACTGTGAGCGCCTCAGAGGGACCCTACCGAAACCGCGAAATGATACAGGGGATGGAGTGTGGAGTTGACAGGTACGAAGAATATTAAGAAATAGGGAAGCAAACTCCGAGAGAGATTGTGAGCTGCGATCCATCACATGAGTGAAGAACACTGCAGAAGCCGAGACGGAAATGAGATAAGAGATGGAGGGAGAACAACCAAACCTGGGAGAAGGGAGATAGAGGAGGCGGTGTCAGCTGCAGCTTCTAGTGCGATGCAGATGCAGTGAGGCGAGAGGGGGGAGTAGAGGGAGGGAGGGAGGGATCTGTGACAAAGGAGAGGGACGGGGGAGAAAAGGAACCAGGAAAGGAGGCAAGGAATGAAAAGGAAAAGCAAAAGGGGGGGGGTGGGGGAGGAGGGAGAGGAAGAAAGGGAAGCGGGGGAAGGGAACAGACGTCAACGCCGCAGGACTAGGGTGAGAAGAAGAAGAGGCTGTCTGAATAGTAGTCAGTGTGAGCAGGAAGTCAGTCATTCTGTCAGTGTGATTAGACGAAGAGGAAAGTACCGGAAGGACAGGACCCGTCCAGAATCCAGCGAGGCAAGCACCATCCCTCCACCCTATCCTTCATTTGTCATTTCTGCTTCTCCAAAACTAATCACACCCTGCATTTAATACCCCACCACTTGCGACTATTCTGTTTCCATGGTTAGTCACTAATCATGACATATGACATCACCCATATACCCCGGTAGAAGCCATTTCGGGTTTGATTTTCTCTATTCCTGTTTATGTTTGTGAAAAAATTGCTAATATTGAATGAGGTTTTCTCAACGAATGTACATTTGCTGATTTCATTTGTTATCACACTTTCCTCATGAATAGATTTATTTAATTATTTTTAAGCATATTTTGGAAAGATTTGCTATATATTATTTTCATGTGTAAAAAACTGTTTTCCCTTGAGATTTTCTTGTACCTAAATACTGCAAAAAGTGAGTGTAAGTATTGATTCATTCTTGGATTCGAAGATGGATTGGGACCAATGAAGGGTGATTTTTTTTTACTAAGAACTGAAACCAAGATTTTAACACACTAATTGAAAAATCATCACTGTAACAATTGAATGCACAATATATGCTTGCATAGCATAAAGCTAAGGTTTCAAATGGTTCAAAAAATCAAAAAAGTATTCTATCGCATTTTGCAGACCAGCTTTAATCCTATGTAGTTTGATCTAAATCAACCCTGTTATTTTGGCTCCAAGGGTTTTTTTTTTTTTTTTTTTTTTTTTTTGTTAACTTCAGGTTTGATTAGTCTTAATTCCTTGTTTAAAGGAAACCTGGTTTCCTTCACTAAACAGTTCTTTGAGTACACCATGTCACACTTACTCAAATGAAACACACAAATTCTTAGTTAGGAATGGAGCAATTTGCATTGGTAGCTGAATACTTCTTAGAATTACAACTGTTCAATTAAGAAATAGATAATTATCTCAATACTGACTGTTAAATTCCCTGGTATTTAGTTCAGATTTGCAATACTCCTTGCAAAAATGGAGAAGCATTGAAAAAACCAATTTATTAACAGAATAATAAATAAAATTACTGGTATTAATTACGATTTTTGGAGAATAAAACTATCATTTGCTCTATTTACAGAAATGTTGAAATAGAAATTGTTATTGTTGAGATGTTTGAAGATATTTTGATGACTAACAAACTATTAAATTAGTGATACCACTATTGCCTTGCAACCCTTCAACATCCCCTTGATAGGTCAATACATTTCACTGAGGCCTCATTCCAATTCCATCTAGTCCTACTGCAGAGGCATGCTACAAAGTTTGTTTGGCAATCCAATTGTTGTAAACCAACACAGAAAGTTGGGGCAGGGTGTGGTTTATGTTTGTCTAAGGTTTGGTGTGAACAGCAGCCTTAGACATGACATCAAACATCATGGATGGCACAATCAATGCAACAGGTTTTATGACTGCATGGCAAGTTGGAGCCTATGTAGCAGAATTATTTTTATATTTTTGAAAAATAAAGTGGTAGACCCTTTTGCTGATTAAAGTAAATTCCATGTATGATACCCTAGGCAAGAAGCCTAGTGTGTGAAATGGTTATCTTAGGTGAAATAGTAAGCTCATTTCAGGGTTGTTCATGCATTGTGACATTCTAATTTGTTATGTCTTAATTAAATAATTTTATATATTATAATTCATTATGGCATTCATTGCACTTTAATTTTTTTTTCAATTAGTTTTTTCCATAATCCATTAGTCGAAAACAATACTACTTTCCCTATTTATCCTTCATGTTAATCCAACTGTCTGAACATTTTTGTCATTTCATTGTTCCTGGATAGTTCAAAAGCATGAGCTAAATATTAGAGGCCATAAATTTTTCATATTTTTGAATTAGCTTAATGCTTCACCTATTAATTTATTTAGAAGGTTTAGGATTGATCTTAGGCCAAGCTTTGTTATATCCCAATTCTACTCTTATTGGACCATTAGGCATTTCCAATATTTGTGGAATATTAATTTTTTCAATTTTGTAGTGTAAAGAGAGAAGTTATTCTTAATTCCAGTTCTTAGTTGTTTCTTCCATATAATTGTTATAATACTTGTTTGCCAAATGATCCAAACTTATTTACTATTATTAAAATTTGCTGTAATTTTATCTCAAAGTGCTGGCTACAACATATTGAAACTTGATTCACTCACTCTATTCTATTTTGTGATTTGGACTAGAATTATAAATATATATATATATATATATATATATATCGAGAGAGAGAGAGAGAGAGAGAGTTTTATATTCTGTTATGCTAGAGTACATATATTTTTTAATAAAAAACCATCAAAGATTAAATCAAAAGTTTTGTATTTTGTTTATAATGGATGCTTATATTATTCATGTAAATGTAAAATGTAAATAAATAAATGTAGAACTATGTCAAGAAAATAATTTCTTTTTTAAAAAGCTCAAAAAACTTATTTAATTGCATTATTTTCTTAAGTAAAAACTAGCTAAAAAATGCATTGGGCATTTGGTTGTGGAAGGATTTGATCATACTCTCAAAGTTGGATTTACAACTCAAAATAATACATAATGTTTTTAAATAAATATTTTTGGCAATCTTGAACAACTTAAGTCAGCTTCTAATTAATCTAAGTACATTATATCAACCTTAAAAAATTACTAGCTATATTTTATCATGTTTTGATCAATTCCAAATAAACCTTAAATAATCCTTAACAACCTTAACTGAATCCTTAAGAAATCCCAATGAATCTAAAAGAACTCTACAGAAATTCTAACTAATCTTACAAAAATAAAAAATAAATCATAAAGAAATCATAAAAAAGTCTAAAAAAATTCTAAAAAATCCTAAAAATCTAAAATAATACTCAATAAATTATAAATTAATCCTAATAAAATTTTATAATAAATTTGAAGCATCAATAATTATTAAATTAAATATTTATATAAAATTTTCAAATCTTTTAATTCTAAAGTAAAAAAAAAACATAAAAAATTAAAAGAGAACAAAAATCTCTATTGGAAAAAAAAAAAAACCTAAATTGCTTGAATGTTAATTCTTCTTCTTCTTCTCTAAGCTTGATATTAATCTTGCAATGTCAATATCTCTTTTATTCATTTTTTTTTCTCTAAAAATTTATAATTTTTTTGGAAATCAAACCAATTACTAGCTTATAAAACATCATCTCAGTCCAACCAACAAATTATTTAAAATCATAGAAAGACTTATAAGCCTTAAAATCTAATTTTTGAGAACTTAATTTATTTGAATTTTAATAATTTTAATCTTATCATGAAATTTATGATAAAATTTACAACATATATTCAAAAAAATTAAATTTACTAATCCATAAACTTTTACATGTTGAGTCACTACAATACTTAAAAAGTCTCTTTTACTAATTAAATTTATTTTTTATTAATTTAATAATTATTTTAATTCAACATTTTTATTATAATTATAATTATAATTTTTAAATTCTTATTATTAATAATTTATATTTAATTTAATTTAATATTAATATATATTTATATAAATATATTTTTTTTCTTTCTCTTTTTATTTTAATTTTTACTATAATTTAATATAATAAAAGATTTAATAAATCTTTTAACAAATAAATTTAAAAGTCTAACATAAAATCAAAAATTTAAATGATTGAAGAATTAGAATTTATTCACCTCAATTATATTCCGCTTAATGCAACAACCCCTCTCCACTCCAAAAATCGCCACAATTTTAATTTTGATTTAATAGCACCAAATTTTGCACCACTATACTCTCAACTTCAAGGTTCTTGTACTCAGAAATTTCCAGCATTAAATTGTCACCAGGCACTAAGAAATGCCTTTCCAAACATGGGTAACATAAAACTGCCAAGGTAGTGAACCTCTTTCTACTCAAAAACTCACTAGATATTCAAATCAACTTCAATTTAAACATGTGATAGCTTTTTAGAAAGCTAACAACAAGATACACAACCTCAAAAAGTTTAAATTTAAATGATGCAACAACCAAAAACTGATTGATGAAAACCCGAGAGCAAACTTGGAGTATACAAAATTGCCAAGGCAGTGAACCCCCTTCTAATCAAAAATTCACTTTTAGTCCAGTTTCAACGTGTGATAGCATTTTAGAAAGCTAACATCAAGATGCATAGTCCTAAAAAGTTTCAACTTAAAATATGCAATGTGTAAAAACTGATTGATGAAAACCCGAGAGCAAATCAACATTCGACTTAAAAATGAACTCTTGACTATCTATTAAGTGAGTTTAAAATTGCTTTCTTTACACCAATAAAGAAGAGATGTAGAACACTTACCAAAGATGAAGACCTATTGGAATTTTTCACTCCAACAAAACCAAGCAAACTTCACATTCACACACACCATTAGAAGCACCATCTTCCGGCAAACGTACCAAAATGTGAGTGAAAATTTCACCCCTCTACCCAAATTACAAGATGGCCTCAATTAAGAGTTGCTTCTAATGGGTAGTATGAAGTAGAAGATGCAATGAACAAGAACAAGAGAAGAAAACAACACAAACAAGTGAAAGAAATGTATACAAGCAAATACACACTCCAAAACTTAGTCACAATCTGTTCACTGTATTTTCATCCAATAAAAAGTAGAAGTAAAAAGTAAAAAATATAAATTTAGATAGATTATTTTTTATCTTTTCAATGGTGTAAAAAACATGTAAATCCGAGTTACAATGAATAAGTTATGAAGGTTTGAAATAACAAATAAATAAACAAAATATTAAATGAA